CCAATCCGTACCCACATGCTCGATATGCAATAAAATGATGTATGATATGGCGAATGTAGGGTATAAAGGCTAAAGGCGAAAATGAGGGTGTGACACACCCAAACCCATCGGGTCCCACCGGGTGTGCCAATTTGTTCGCACGCAATTTTCGCGCGAACAACCTCTGACCTCCTAACGCAGGTTTACTTGCGGGACCGGTCAAACGAGTCGCAGAACGCTTGGTTTAGGGGTATGGAAAGAATGGTGGTGTGAAGTCTACCTGAATCTATTTGCTATAGACTGGGAATTCATTATAAGTGAGACTGAAATTTAGACAAACTATACAAAGAAATGAGAAATAACTTGTGTAAAAAGATTGAAAATAAAACAAACAAGGCAAATGCACATTCATAATTAATAACATAAATTACTTAGAAAAAGGAAAAAAGGTGACGCTATCGTACATCTTGTAGGAATGAAAAAACTCTTTTCTCGATATGCTTTAGTACTTAGAGTGATTTCTTTACAATCTTACAAAAAGCGCCCATGTTACTAAAATACACATTGCTTTAAATAGAGAAAATAAATAACTGTCACGTTGAATCTGATGATGCCACGTGTTTTCCCACTACTTCTATAACTTCCATGTATTTGGATTTTAAATCCTTTTCCCGCTCAAACATACGTCCTTTTGCATGGCCTGTGGCCGTCTCGGTCGACTGACGCCACCAGGGGTCAACCCCACCATCTTTTGCCTATCGATGTCGACCTACTTCCTGGACGGGCTATTGAGCATGTCGACCAACTGTTGTGTTGCCACTTTTCTGGTTGAAACTTCCGGTCAACAATGGCATATGATAGATCAATAATGGAAAAAAAGTTCACATGACAGTAGAAATAGACCAAATGATAACATTAGTTATGGACCTGGATATTTAGCAATAAATCAATTTAGCTTAACCAAAACAAAACATAACAATTGAAAGAATAAAACCTAACTTAGTAATAGGAGAAACAAACTTTTACAATGAAAAAAAAAAAAACAAATCAAAAGTAGTAGAAAAATATGGCAGTAAGTTAAATAACAATCATTAACAATAAGACCAAACACGACAATTAGTTAGATACCAAACCATAATAGTCAGACAACAAAATTTAAATAACAATAAGATTAACAACACACCAAATTGAGTTTAGAGCAATAACACTTGAGCCACCTAAAAAACACCATCAAAATGAATATGACAGTGTTAAGTTTAGAGGACGAATATGGCAGTGTCAACAACACTTGAGCGACCTAAAAAAACACCATCAAAATGAGTTAAAATAAGAAGAAGCATAAAAAAAAAAGTTAACTTTCAATTTTTGAAGATTTTTATACTTGATTTGAAGCACAACTAAACAATGCATCTCAAACACAACCATTATGCCAGAGAAAATTCTTGACACTGAATGAATGATCTTGTTATTGCTCTTCTTCTTTTCCAAGTACTCCTTCTTGTTGATCTGTCTCATTGAAACTCCTACTAATTATTGCTTCCTCTGCTTGTCGTTGACCCAACATTGTTCTGTCTAAAAAAATTTATGGATCTGAAACATATAAAAAAAAACACAAAAGCATGATGGGAACACCAACCCAGATCCAAAAACGGAAGAAAAAAATCTAAACTTTAAGGCATAAATCTTTTGCGAATTTACAAACAATCCATACAGTAGTTGCTCAAGATCAATACTTGTTGTTTGTGTTCTTCAATCGTCTTCCCTATCTCTGATTTGTAACGAACTCCTGTAGAACATATTCTAGAAAAATCCTAAATCAACAAAATCTCAGAATCAATTTGAAGCTGAATAGAGATAAAGAGGAAAAAATCATTAACCAAAAGGGAATCGATTTGAAGTGGGATCATTTTCAACCTCTCATTTCTCGTTATTCGAGTTCTCTCAACTGTCTTCCCCATCTCTGATTTGCACCATATATCTGATTTTGAAAAAAAAAATTCATTAATCAAAAGCGATTGGAAGAGAAGATATGAAAATAAAGATAAAGAGAAAATAATTTGTGGAAAAAAAGGAGACTTGAACATGGAGATATCGTTTGGGAGTAAAGAGACGAGAGCTATACCTGGCTTGGAATGAGAAGTAGGCATGGCAAAAAAATCCGGACCCGCCGGGGAAAATCCGGTTTTGAGTGGGTACGGGTGCAGGTGCGGGGAAAACCCAACTTTTAATTACGGGTGCGGGTACGGGTGCGGGGAGACACTAAGACCCGCCCGTACTTGGCCCCGCCCCGCCTCCGAATAATGCATTTTAGTTTAATTCTCTTATTTTACTTATTTTAATATTCATTTATTAATTATATTTTTAATTAAATTATTAATACCTTTATTGCAATTAAAATAATTAAATTAATCAAATTAATATTCATTTACTAATTAAAATTTTAATTAAATAAATAAATAATTTGTTAAAATAATCAATTTTTAAATTAAATCATTAATTTTTATTGCAATTAAAAAGAAATTAACTTTTTTCGGGTGGGGGCGAGGCGGGTGCGGGTAGGGATGTAAATGGATATCCATGGGGGCAGATACTATGATATTCGTATCCGCCCCGTTAGATAAATATGATATCCATATTCGCCCCATATCCATGTGAATATCTGTTAAGCGGGTAATTCACGAGTTTTATGGTATCCACAGATATTTACAGAAATCTATGGATAATACTTTTTTTATAAAAATTCTTTTTTAAGAAAATTATTTTTAACTTATTTTAAAGACACAAAAATTTATTATCACATAACATTCATACAAAAGATTCGACAGAGGAATGATGGAAGATCAGACGATAGAGGAGTAGGAATGGAGACACTAGTTCGACAAAGGAATGACAATATTAGTTGGTTGGACTGTGAAATTGATGAAGTGAGGTATGAAGTATCGAAGAGTTTAAATATGAAATGACAAATAGAATTTGAATGAAAAGTTAAAGGTTTTCTTAAAAGAATTAAAAAATTAAAAAATTAAAAAGAAAAGTATAAGAAGACTAATTTTTTAGAAGATGTAAAGATAAAGTATAATAAACTAATGATATTCAAATAATTTTTATAATTTATAAACGGATATGGATATCCGCGGGTATGAATATCATTAAATTCATATTCATATCCATTAACAAACGAGTATTTAAATATCCATTTATTTTATCCATGGATATCCATTAAGCTAGCAGCCCCATATCCGTGGCAGATTTTATCCACGGATATCCGCGGGTATGGATATTTTTGTCATCCCTAGTGCGGGTGCACCCGTTCTCTACTGGGGGCAGGTCTGAGCGGGAAATTTTTACCCCCGATTGAGTTTGGGGGCGGGGGCGGGTGTGTCACATGAAGGCGGGTGCAAGTGACTCGCCCCCGATCCGCCGTGTTGCCATCTCTAATGAGAAGAGACGTGAATTGTTTCTTGATTTAAAGTATGTTGATATAGTTATGATAATAGTAATGAAAAAAATTGACCTTTTCATGTTTTGATAAAAAGAGAGGGGGAGCGATTTATGAGCAGAGAGAACGAGTGATTCGTTTGGAATATAGGAGAGAAAAGTTGTTAGAATTTTATGAGTTTTTCAATGTGACGTTTTCGTAAACAATGCATTGAGAATATAGTATATTTATTATAATAAAATAAATAAATAATCAATAAAAAAAATGTAACAATGACATGTTATTAATTGTCAAATGAACGAGAATGAAACAAATGTGTAAATAGTCACATTTAATTTTGAAATCAAAAAAATTTAGACATGAGTATTTCACTTCCATTGATACTTGTTATAGGAGGGTATCTGGGTTTCGTTAAAGAAAAGAGCAAAACGGTGCGTTTTGAGATTGGGTTATCCTTAGAGTTAGAAGTTTCTGAATTTGGCATGATCGCAATCTTTCTCTGATTTGTGGGTCATCACTCCGCTCCACGTCGACGCAACCACCGTTCCGCTATCAGGTCATCCCTCTCTTATTTCTCCCTTACCATTTATTGGTAGATCTCAGATTCCGTAATTCCGCATCATTTTCAACTCGTTTTCCTCGCATTCGCCCAATATTTAATCATTCTTATAAGCTTATGAATCCATCATAATTATGCCACTTTAATTATACTATATGATATGATTGACTAAAAATTTGGAACTTGTTAGTGAGATTTTTGGTTCAACCAATTTGATAATAAAACAGTTCCCTGGAAATTGAACCATCATTTTTGCTCTATACTCTCAATGCTGTGATTTCTCCGGTAGATCATAGGGGCTTATTTATGCAACTCAGAACCTCAGAGTTCCTCTCATTCTTCTCAATAGTTCAAAGAAAATACATGAAAGTTGAAGAGTAGGCTTTTTATAAGATCATTATGTATTTTTAACGATAGTCATATGTGATGCATTCTTTCTACCTTTTTCTCAATATGTTTAGACTTTGTATATTTCTAAACAAGATTAGTGAAAACACCAGTTTTTTTTACACTTTACATTATGTTTGTTTCTTCAGGAATGTCTCTGCTGTATTTGCTCCTATTTTCATGGTGTGACTCTCAGTTCAATGTTGCATTTGAACTTTGAGGTATTAATTATTATTTCACAATTTTCTTTTGGTAATTATTCTTTACGGTATGACTAACAGAACCCAATTGAAAAACACTCAAACAATATAACAATATGATGCATTTTGATTTGCTTAATTTGTGCCAAAACTGTGTATTTGATGTTACAAGTAACTAATATAAAAGTGGTTTGTTCGACATAATTCATAGTTTTCGGTGTTCTTAAGGATGAAAAATGAGCATTTCTTATATAATAATGTTGGAAACTGAGCAATGCGAAACTTCTACACTTCCTTAGAAAAATCGTTCCAACATTAACGATTGTCATTGATTGTTCCGATGATACTATCTTACAAGAAAATCCCATGCTCTTTACCAACAATAAGCATTTGAAACATGCTGGTTTTATTATAACTTCTGTAAAAATGTAATGAATCAAATATCTGCGAAGACATGGTATGTTTTGGAGTCTACAGAAATAAGCCGTAGTGCTGCAACTGTTGCTGCAATAGACATGAGGCTAAAGAAAACAATGTTGATCCAGTGCCAGAGCTTCCGTAAACTTGTTAATTTGTTCTTCTTTGCCACCATGTACATATGGTTTGCAAGAATAAATGTAAGGGGAAATGTGCTGATCGCTCCCGTGAGGCTCATGAAATCTCCAAGAAAAGGCAGGAGGGCCGCTACAAATGTGTTAAATACCAGGTATCCGCCTCTTACTGCAATTCTATATGACAAGTTCTTAATATTCATTGCGCTTCCTTTGATCCCATGTCTAGTATCCAGATACTCATACATTGGACTCGCAAATATCTAACAAAAGTAAATCACAGGTTATTAGGTCAGCTAAACACAATTTCAGTAAAGCATATAAGTGTAGAAAAGTTCTAAAATTTATGTACATGCAGTGCGATGACCGATTGAAGGAAGGCTGAAATATTGGCGAAAGCTTTCACCCAGACTGGACCGTTCACACTATTCAGTAAATAGGTTTCTGTGTCAGATCCATAAGCCCAGTATCCTGAAAAGGTAATAAGGTACAATGGTATAACTCCGACGGTAAACTGAAAGTACAGAGATTTCATCATGTTCTTGATAACTGGCTGTTTAATTGTTGCCTGCAAGTTACATTACCAAATAAAATTCAGTTTAATATTATGCTTAAATTAATAAGAAATTGTATCAGCTTGAAGCTTCAGAAGATATTAAATTTATTATAAGCTTTCTATCCAACCTGTATCTCAGGAAGCATGCCAGTGTTATATGCGAACACTAGGTTAGCAGACGCCCCGATCGTTTCAAATACCCTACTTGCCCCTTCTCCAGGAATGGTGTAATCTCGAGGTGGTGAATTTATTCCTGATAATGTACTGCAGGTTAGTTCTATAAATGTATAAACTCAAATCAAACAATGTATTCATGTATTCAGATAGGTGGATTTCTATGAATTTCAAATCACAGACATGAGATATTACCATCTTTAATTGATAGGACAGATGCTACGGCAATGTATACCAAGCCGAAGACGGTTGAAACTGCCAACCAAATTCTAAGAGCTGAAAGATGAGGAATAGAAATTGCAAACATTGCACACACAAAACCAGCTATAACAATACAATATGGAAGCTTCAGCAGACCATCATCCCTAAACAAGGTATAAGTAGCCTGTAACACATCAAAAAGAGAAAAAAAAATAGTTTTATATGATTTGAGATTGAGATTTCACAAGTTCTATAACTTGAGAAAGAGGTGAAGGTGCAATTTAGATTGAATGGTTCCTAAGTTTCTTACTTTTAAAGCTGAACCAGCCAAAATAATGAAGCCAGTATTTATCATAAAAAGATTGATATACTGAAGAGCCCATGTGAGTTTATATGCCTTTTTACCTGAAATGAAAATGAAAATTAACATAAGCAGCAGCAAAATAACAACATAACATAATGTTTCTTTTATGTTGCTAAGTTTTGTTGGCCATGTGTACCATACCATATACATATCCAGCAAGATCTCTATATCTGATGTGTCTTGTCCCTCCTAATTCATGGATATTAGCAATAAGGGCATTAGCATAGAGTGACACCAAAGCAGCAAGAATCAGACCAACTACACCCCCTATCCAGCCCAGGGGAACCATGACTGTCCCGGAATATCCAAGAACAAAAGCACTGTTGACTCCATTGGTGAGCACAAATGCCACTTGCAACCATGAATCTGGTAAAACAGAACAATCCAAAATAAAATAACAATTATAGAATAAACCCAGAAGAACATAATAAATCTGAAACCAAAAGAACTTAAAGTGAACTGTCAAAAGAATAAACTATTTTCAATAATATTCCAACAAATCATTCATAATTCACATTCTACTACTATATGATTTTAATAAATATATACACTCAGCGTTAGTTTTTCAGCTACAACTTGTGTATTTTTCTAGAGATTTTCTGGAAGGGTGTTCGGAAAGAATTGAAATCACTGAAATCACTTAATACCAGGATTTAATTTACCCTAAATCGGAATAAAGTGGTCAGTATATTGGTGTTGAAAAAAAGTTCTACAAAATATTAATGATAAAAAATCATCATTTATTAAAGGACAATTCCAACCTTAACTGTCTAGAACAATTTTTTCTTAAAATCAAATTTTGTATTATTGTGATCCGTTAAACTAAACTTAAGGCACCGACACATCAAAATAAAAAAAAATTTAATAGTCAAAATTTCACAGTAAAATTGACTCTGATGGCAAAGTACAAAGGGTAGTTTTGGAAATTCAAAAAACATATGTCCGTGGCTGATAGTAATTCAAAAAAAAGTGCGTCACGAATGAGAATTATGTCCGTTCCCCTCCCTATGTCGTAAAATGTTTCAGCTGGAACGTTTAAACGCACATGTGAATTGTGATTCTTGAACTCCATAAACATGGGAATTTTCGAAAAATCTCGTAAATGAAAAGGATAAATAAACCCTTCAAAAATAAAACATAAACCCTTCAAAAAAACACAAACAAAAACATCATAAAACGAATAGACAAAACGTTACAGGTTTAAGGTACGAGGTACGAACCGCTACTGATTTGATGTGCAGTATCTGGAATTTCGATAGAATCATCATGAACCTTGTTTGGACCACTAATCTCACCGCCTCTTTTTCCCATTGTTCTTAACAGAGGTGGTGGTGGTGGCGGCGGCTAAATGTTGTTGTTGTTGCTGGACTTTCAAACGCCAGCGTAGCCGTCACAATAAGCGGTTTCTCCACCGGAAATATTTCGAACTTATTTTTGTTGTTATTCCTACCTGCGATAATAGAGGGCTTTCATATCTCTCCTCTATATATAAACCCTTGCAGTGATAACCAATCAACGGAACCAACGGTGAAAAACCAATCATACACCGCGTTTCTTTTATTTTTTGTTATTATATAACTAAAAAAATAACATAATACGAAATTTTAATATTTTTTAATTTACTTTTTCTAGAAAAATATTTATTTTTCACTACATGTGCTTTATAATTTAACTGAATTTGATTATATTAAGAATTTTTTATTCTCAGTCAAAAGAATAATATTCGTTCATCAATTAATACAATATCTTAAAATTAATTCAAAATTCAGTGCATTCAACACTGAATAAATTCACAATATAATATAATTAAAAACTTGACCAAATAAATGATTGTAAATATAATTTTTTTGAATTTAGAACGTTTTGTTCATTTTTTTTATTAAATGTGGAATGAGTTGAAAATATTTAGTCATTCCAACCCTTTAATAAAACTAAAAGTATTTTTCTATAAAAAAAAAAGTATATTGTTAACCAATAACGACTATATATGTTAACACGATTATAGTATATATTGTGTCACATAATACTAATATTTAAAAAAAAGTTTAATGACATAAAAGATTATTGACTTCCTATTAAAATATATTATAAAATTATTTTACATTATTTAGTATATATCAGTTGAAAAAAAAAGAAAGAATATTTAAACAATAAAATTAAATAAATAAAGAGAAAATAAAATATACACAGCGTAAAATAATTTTATACTGTTACTATCATATATTTTATTAAATAAATCTATAAATTTTAAATTAATAATGTTAATCAATTATTATCGTATATTTTATTGAATTAATCTATAAATTTTAAATTAATAATATTAATCAATATGTAATTTGTTTTGTGTACACAAATTTCATGAGTAATAAATTATATATTAAAATAATTTCAAACGATTTTTATATATTTAATTTCGATGTTCACAGCTGCAACATGAATTTTCTGACCCTATCCCTAGCTACACACTCTTCTTCCATCAAAATTTAATACTCTACTATAGTCAACTAAGAAGAAATTAAGACCAACCATGCTTACACACGAAGCCAATATAGTGACAAATTTTGCTTTTGATTTGTAGAAATTCTTGGCAGGAATGGATAGCTCTTGTTTTAATAATAGGACTTTTGTGTGGATAGAGAATCTCTGGTAGGAGATTTTTTAAAAAAATTTTTTAGTATATTTAACGAATGATTGTACTATAATTATTTTAATTATAATTAACATTTATTTACGAATGATTGTACTATAATTTTAATCTGATTCTGGTCTTGGAGACAATGGGTAAAATGTTTTTAGTATATTTAAGCTTTTTAATGAATTATTGTACTATAGTTTTTTTAATCTATTTATGGCCTTGGGTTGGGGGCCATTTAAACAATAAGTAAAATATTTATAGTATATTTTCATGTGAATCATCTAAAAGGAAAAGTCATGTCATGTGGCCTAAGTCACCATTGATATTATGCCTCAAAATTTGACCTCTACGATCTACTAATACTCTAGTGGTCCCATCCACTGGAAATCTGGAATCTCTCTACTTCCGTCCATATTAGGATGATTAAAATTTCTTTTGATTTTGACAAATATTGATTTTTTAAACCATGGTGTGGACTCTTCGATTCTAACTACCACTAGTATATAAAAATAGTCATAATTTGACTTAGACTACTACTTACATGGTTCAACTTTGAGTTTTAGATCGGGATCAATAAAACTAGTCGGTAGTTGTAGGTGATATTCGATAACTTATGGCGGATAATTTATAATAGATAGACGGTAACTGATAAATTAATTTGAGTGTTTGGGAAATTAGTTGTTACACTAATTGATAATTATAAAATAACTTAAATGAATATTTTTACTTTAAAAAATTTGTGATTTCATTATTTTATTATATTATTAAATTATTTTTTATTCGATAAAAGTAAATGTATTAATAATAAAATGCAAAATAATTTTAATATATATAAAAAAATTGAATATATCATTAAAATATATAAATTTGTATATAAATTTTATGAGTTTTGCTATTTATTATAAATATATTGACAACAAAATTCGATGAATAAAAGAACCAACAAATCATACCTGAAATAGAGATATTTCATAAAATAATCTTACTAACTAAAATTCTTGATTTGCTTAACTCATTCTTTCGTAAAATATAGTTTTTCTTCTTCTTAATTTTATAATGAATTTAATAAATTATAATTTTGTAATGAGTTTAATAAAAATAATCTTACTAACTAAAATTTTTGATTTGCTTAACTCATTCTTTCGTAAAATATAGTTTTTTTTCTTCTTAATTTTATAATGAATTTAATAAATTATAATTTTGAATTTAATTATATTAATCTAAAATAATAACAAAAATAAGTTTATTGTCTAATATTTTACAATAAAACTCTAGATTTTCTCCACCTTTATTGATTTCATTGATTCTCCTCCGATGTTTCAATAATTTGAGAATTATCAATACTATTTTTAAATTAATTATATAATTCATAATTAATAAATGAAAATAATATCTAGAGAAAAATAGTAAAAATCTGCTATAGCATTCTTCAAAATTTTTATAAGTTCAATCTTTTAAAATTAATTTTTTAATAGTAAATATTATATATATATATATATATATATATATATATATATATATATATATATATATATATTGATCTTACCGGGATCAGAAGAATATTTAGTGGCTATCAACACGTCGTGAGCTCCAAGTTCACCGGTGGTGGAGAAGAGGAGGGGGTGTACATGCAAGGTTCTCCAATGCCAAAGTGAGGTTCAGAGTGAAAGAGAGAGAGCAAGTACAGAAAGTGAGTATGAATTAGAATACATGACCCTCATATGGAGGAGGATATTTATAATGTGCCATCAACGCTCATCTACCGTGGGCTGGATCGTAAGACCTACAATAAATGACTGTCAAGATCCTAAGTGGAGGTAGGAAAGACCAGCACGTGGTCTTCGTCTTGGGTCAGTGATCGGTGGATTTCAGTTGTGTTTTCAAAAGCTGTTTGTGGTTAATTTCGCAATATTTTTATCTAATTTTCGAAGCTTTAGTTGTGATTATCTGCATTACTCGTAGTTGTGTGTCTTCGAGTCTTATTTTTAAGTTTATGTTGCTTTTGCCGCTGGTGCGTTTGATTTGGTTTCTTTCAGTGTGTTTTTGGCAGGAATGGAGAGCACGACAATCGCACCGCATTCGGAGGAAAAGAAAAGGCGAAAAAGGGAACTCAGAGCTGCAACACGGGTACCCGTGTTGCACAACACGGCCCGTGTCATGAAGGACACGACTGGCAGACACGGGTGGACCAAAGCTGATGAGAAAAGAAGACTCAGACTTGCAACACGGGTGCCCGTGTCATGTAACACGGCCCGTGTTGCAGCCCTTGGAGAGGAACACGCCCCAAAAGAAGCCAGCAGCCTGACACGGCCACCCGTGTTGCACAACACGGCCCGTGTCAGGGCCACTGAACGTGAAATTTCTCTGTTTTCTATTTTTTGCTGTCAGACCTATTTCGAAGGGCATTTGAGACATTTCGCTATGTAATTTGAATTTAGATATAAGAGGCACATTTTAGAAAGGAAAAAAGATTTCTTGGAACAGAGATTAGGATTGACAACTGAGAGGAGAATTCGGCTGGAAACAGAGAATCGATCAAAAGCGGAAGCAATTGATGATCCAAGGATTTCAACGTGCATTGTAATGATCTTCTCCTTTTTAATTCTAATTACTTTTATGTTTCCCAAGAACATGAGTAGCTAAACCCCCAAGTTGTTAGGGGGTGGTTCTTAATGCGATGTAATGACGTTTGTTTAATTATTCTATGAGAACTATGTTTTTACCTTAATATATTTGATTTTGCATTAATCCTCTTCGTATTCATATTGGTAAGTAGAATTCGAATGGTGCTTAGGCTTAGTCTGGAAAGTCAACCTAACACTTTTGCAAAATAGTATCACGGTCGATATTGCTTAGGAATGAGGATATCCCGTATCACGTATTTTATGGTCGGAACTATTGCTTGATGTTTTTCAGGGACACTGAGAAATTAGTGAACAGGAAAATCATCAAAGGGTTTCCATTAAGGAATTAAGGCAACTAAAATGGCCAATTGATAAATTAAGGTTAATAACTAGTATAGTAGAATAATCATACAGGGTCTTTACTCGTATAGTCTCCACTCCCCTAACACTGTTCTTAGATTAATTAATTAAGTCCATATTTACGTGTGATATTACTCTGCTACCAAACAACCCACTAGACCTTTTGTTCAATTGAATCCTAAAAATTCTGTTAATTACTACGTAGTCCTCGAGATCGATACTTGGGACTTTTCCCTTATTACTACAATTGGTAAAAATAGTACACTTGCTATTTTCCCGATCAAGTTTTTGGCGCCGTTGCCGGGGACTGCCAAATTAACATTGTTTTTAGAATCCAAAGAAATTTTGTTGCTCTGCGACTAAAATTTTATTGTTTACTGCATAACTTTTATCCGTTTATTATCTAACGCTTGTCTAATTGTGTATGCGAGGTCAGGCCTCAGCTAAATATTCTTTTGATACAGAACCAGAACGAGCATTACACGAAAGACGGAGATTAGCTAAAGTTAAAAGACTGGAAGAAATAGAGGAAATTATATTCGTGCAGAGCGACTCCGAAGAGAGAGAGACACCACCTGAGACTGTTCAAATGGCTGGAAATCCACCTCAGCCTGAAAGACTGCTAGGAGACTATGGAGGGGCCAATGCTCAACTGAACCGGATGACCATTGTGAATCAACCGGTGAATGCTG